TCAATGTTAGGTTAATGGTTGGACTGGATGATCTTCAAGGTCTTTTCCAACCTTGATGATTCTGTGATTCTGTGACCCTGCCATTGCCAGCAATGAAAAGAGAGAGATTTGTCATTCCTCCAAGTCAGGGTGTGAGGTGCTGGCTTCCCTGTACCTCTAACTTCTTCCAGGGCAGAAGCACAGCTCTTGTCTCCACCCTCACAAGCTTCTTCTGTTTGTAACACAGCAGGTGTTATAATGAAGACCTAGCTTAATCATTCATCTCCAGCTCAGACATCAAATTACTCCCACCTACGAGGACTACATTTGCAACGCTCTCACGTATGCTGTGACTCTTCGGAATGAGACTTTTATTTCGAGAACCAGAATGCAGATCTAAACAGCACTGCCGTCTCCTGGAGGAGATAACATGTCTTTACTCAGAGACCTAGTTCTGTGCTTGCTTTCTATCATGCAGCACCATTTGGCAGGGGCTGCCTGGTTTATGTGATAGCAGACACTGAATTACTTCGGAAAAACAGACTTATTCTTTATATAAAAACAAATGACTAATTAAAAATGGTTTTAATTTTGCAGTTCGTATTTTCTTGGGATTGAGCCAAATTCTGGAGTCCATACTCCACACCCTGTCCTTCTGGAGGAATTTGGCTGGGGAAAGCACTGTAAGATTTGTTCCCTTTCCTTTCCCTTACTCTTAAAATCCCTCCCCGCCTCCCTTCTCCCTTCCTGCAACTGGTAAATTGTGAAGAACAGGAATGTTCCTGGGAAGAAACCCAGGCAGAATCACATTCAGAACAAGTCAAAGATTTCTTGCATAGCTGAAGCATGTGTTTGCAATCCCCAATTGCCAGAGCACGTAAGCCCTGCCAGCGCATGTTGTTCCCTTCAGATGTTCTCAGCTCTAGGCAGCATCCAGGGTAGTCTGTGGACAATGTTTAGCTGAGGCATTGCTTCTTGGCCCATCTGTTAATGGTGCCAGGGCCAAAAAGGCTCTTGGTGAAAGGACGGCAAACAGCCAACCCTGCTTTTCCAAGGAGCTGTGTTAGGGATGGTCAGAACCGTTGGTCTGCATGACCTCCCTGAGCCACAATCTGGCTCCATCCATTTGGGTCAGTGAGAGTTTGGCTGCTGCTACCAGCCTATCGCCCCAGTCTTCAGGCACCTTCTGGGACTGATGCTCTTCAGAATAATTAGCACATGCAGCCACAACAAAGTACTGCTCAACAGAGAAGGGCAAAACCATGAGATCCCAAATGGATGTCCAAAAGGCAGATTATGACTGTTGGGAAGCAGCAGATAGATAGCAAGGAACTACAGCCTGTTCTCCCTCCTGCTTGAGAGATGCCACTGACCCAGTGGGAAAGTAACTCTTCAAGATGTGCCATTTAATGGTTCAAAACTGGAACCTGATGGGGCCAAGAAGAATGGGAGTTGGGGGCTGAAACACTGGTTGGAAAAACACAGCCTCAGTATATTTGTGAGGAAGCTTTTGTCCTTGGTAGCACAGGCAGCACAGTATATTACAGGAGCACAAAGTGAGTCCTTGCTCAAGCTGGTGCTGATACTGGGGAAAGGCAGGTTGATGAAAGCATCACTTGTCTTTCCAATGACCTTATCATGTGAGCTCAGCCTGCCAAGAGCTGACTCTCGCTCTGCACTCTTCGTGGTCTGAGCTAACAAGCCTGAACGCGCTGTGCTGCTATCTGATGTCATTCAGCATTGCATGGCAGCCTCCGAGTGTTGCACTCACATCCTTTCAGAGGGGGACGATGACAACTCTGTGCTTTGCTGTGCATCATGTGCCTCCATGCTGTCTCTAGCTTGTCTCACTTCCAAACATGTCCGATCTGACGTTGCAATTTTTTGAATATAAGGTGCCCCAGGGAGGGCCCTGAGCTTACAGGAGGAACAGAAGAAATAGAAGAGTCTTCCAAAGCAAGATCTTTTACCTCAGTGGTTGAGAGGCTGTGCTGTGCTTAGCCTGGCTCTCCTTCATGCTTGCCAATGGGGTTTTCACATCTTTACTGGTGCGTGCCAACAATAATGAGCAAGTAACACATGGGGGCAGCAGCAGGCTTTGCTTTCTTGTCAGTCTGGGAGTCTGTGGATGTAGCATCCTTGCAAGGGTCTTGCAGAACTGGGGTGCTCCAAGATCTGAGGGTCACTGTGCTGGGCGCAAGCCCAGAGTGACAGCTACAGCTGATCAAACGATGGGAAAAGCATGTCGTAGGAGAGAGAGGGGCCTTGAGGCCTCATGGGACAGGGTGTCAGCACTGAAACCTGTGCTTCTGTCATTGCTTCTCCAGTTCCTGCAGTCCCAGCCTAAGCAGTTCTGTGCTCATGTTACAAAGCACATTAAGCCAGCAGACAGTTACAGCGTTGTCTGCAATGGCAAATATGGCTGGAGTTAAAATCCCAGGTCCCAGTTCAGATCCCACTGCATCCCAACGGACAAGCCTTGCTGAGCTCGTTGCATTACAGGCAGGATGGAGCCCAGCAAGTCCCTCTCAGTGAGGTGAAATGAAAAAAAATGCTCTTATCTGTACCATGAAGGAAGATGCAGGGTTCATCTGATACCATTTGTTCTCCTGGAGACTCTGAATGTTCAGGTAACAAGAAAAAGCCTTGATCTTGCCTGTAGAAGTCTTAAAAGTCAAGTTGTCAGGGTAGGAACATTTTACTCAGAGAAGTGGCCATAATTTACATAGCAAGACTCTGAGATTTTCTGGGAAGATAATTTCCAGAAAAGGGTGTCCTTTTTCCTGCTCTGGGTAAGCAGAACTTCAGGAGTTGCTTCTGCACCTGATATTTGCCTGATCACCCACATCAGAACTCCCCATTGTGTGAGTAAGGTGGTATCTGAGTGGCACTGGCCCAAGATGAAACTGGAAATGGCAAAAAATAAAAAAATCCAGCAAAAGCCAGCCCAGTCACCAGAAATGATGATGGATTCATTATAATAAGTGATGGGAAACAAAACAGCCCTGTGCTCTATGAGTAATTAAAAAAAAAAAAAAAAAGAAGAGATAACTGCCCAGATAGGAAAAGCATTTTCTGTAACTGAGGCTGCTACTTTAATTGGAAAGTGCTGTTAACACAATTGCCTGACTGAGGCCAGTGCAATAGCACAGCAGGGCTGTTGCAGATCTGCAAGTAAACAGCTGAATTGCATTTCTCAGCTTCAATCTGCAAATTTCTGAAGCCAAAAGAACAGCTTTAAATTTAAAACTTCTGTTGGAGCTCATGCTTCAATTGGGCTCTGTGCCAGGACATGCAAAGACTTAGGGCATTAAGAGACTCATGTAGATGAAAAGACAGTGGGGAGTCATTTGAGTTGGCTAGTAATGTACTAAGCTATAGCAGGATCTGCCTTCATTCCCTTTAAACCAACTTGTGGAGAGGAAAATTGAGAAAACTGACATTTTATCACTTGTAATTGTTACAGCAAAAGCTAAGGCTAAGCACGGCCCTGAGACAACTCCTGTGTCCTGCACACAACCCAACAGAGGGGTCCCACCCCAAGCTGGCTCTGCCCTTTCAGTAACTGGGCTGTGAAGTAGCTTTTGAAAATGCTCGAAACCACTGATTGACCCCCTGTAAAGACATATGAGCTGCTCTGTGGGCTGTTGTTTTCTATTCACTTCACACAATAATCTCAGGCAACCTTTAACCAGAGAGTAACAGGACAGGTTTTATCCCTACCCTTGTTCTTCCAAGGAGCTCAAAGCCAGGCAATGCTCTAGTGGTACCTCTGCTGTCGCACAGTGGCTCCTGGAGCTACAGGGAAGTGAACTGATTCACCCAAGGCTGCACGACATGTTGGCATGTCAGCACAGCCCAGATCCAAGCTGGGGTGAGCATACATCAAGCAATGAAAGATGTGTCTGGCTGTCAATAAAGACTTAGAAAAGCTGCAACTGCAAACTGTGAACAGTAGCAAAGTGACACAAACACTAGCAGCATGATCACCAGGTATCAAACGAAGCACAACTAGCCAAATCAGTTTCTTGTAAGAAAAAGGAAGAAGAGCAGAACAATGTCTTTTACTATGTGGGCTGTGTCCCTGCTGGTTAATGCTGCAGCTCCCTGCATAGCCAGGCCTTAGATGGACAGGCTGAGAATAATTACCAGGACCCAGTGCAATCCTGTGCTGCGCCTCTTCGCTGCCAGAAGCTGCTTTACAATATTCACAGCCATTTCCTGAGGTATCCGGCAGATTGGACAGAATTAAAGAAACATGGGTTTTGGGTTTCAAGGCCACTGTTAAGTCACTAATCAGGCTCCCAGCTGAGCCAAATGCAAGGAAGAACATTGTTAGCAATAAACACAGATAAATCTTCTCTAATTAGAGCCATGGAATGGGTATGTACTTCTGGGGAAACCTTTGCCTTCTCTCTGGACCATGTTCACTACAAGGAGGGGGGCCCCAGTGGGCAGCAAGGGCTTTTATCATAGTGCCAGGGTCCTTCTCAGGTGATAGGAGAAAAAAAAGACATCCCAAAAGCTTCATAAGAAAAAAACCACCCAGAGCCCTTGTTCTGGTGTAGAGTTCTGGTCCAAAGGGGGAGGGGGCAGTGTTTCCAATTGTTTTGAGGTTAGTGATAGGAAAATCTCCTAAAACCCAAGGGCCACATGCTGATGTTTCTCTTCAAGAAACAGTCCCGGGGAATGGCTCAAAGAGAAAGCACTTGCCAGCTGCAAGCCCAGCTCATGTCTCACATATACAAGAGAGCACCCCCCCCCAACCCTGCAGCACTGCCTGCGTACACCCCACCCTGCAGTAGCCAGCAGCCCTCTGTACAGAGCTGAGCTGTGTGCTGAGGGCTGTCCTGCAGCCAGTCCCCACCCGGGCACAGTGCCCTGGCAGCCAGGAGAGCGGGACGAAGGCTCGAGCACAGAGCTGACCCTCCATAGCTGCGGGAGCCCTTGACCTTTGAGTGCCCACACTGGGGAGCTGTGGAGGTGGGGGCCAGGCTCAGGGCCCCACAGTCCAGTCTCACTGTGTAGACAGCAACCTGACAGGGAAGACTTTGTAGGTCCAAGGCCTGGATGCAAGAGGGGAGTTTCGCCATGGTCTCCTCCATGAGAAGCTGGATCTGGGGTCATGCTCATGAGAAGACTGTCAACGTGGTATGTGGGTGCACTGGATGCTTGGCCTTTAAATCTACCAGGATTGTGGGAAAGCCATGCCAGGACCGTGCTGCCTCTTGGAGTGCTAAAATCAGAGCAAGTACCAGAGAAAAAAAAAAAAAAAGGGGGAAGAGGAGCTATTAGGAGAATTAAAGTGATGAATGAGCAGATGAAAGGTACAAAATGTCGTTTTTCATTTGAGCTCCCAGGAGAGACTCTACTAGCAACAGAATGAATACCACAGAGAACCAGGTGGCAGTGGATCAGATAACCCCCCCCTTGACCCATTCTTCAACATTCAAAACACACAAATGCTGAGGTCTTGTAAAAGCAAAGCACTGTCCCCTTGTCTCATCGTTACATGCAACCCAGAGCCTGTGGATAGCTGCTACAGTGAATTAACATGAGCAGAAGTAGCTGGATTGAATTTGCTAATGCGGAAAAAAAATCACAGGCATGTCGTTAAGAAAGAATGAGCACTAATTCTCTGCTTATTCTGATTCATTTTGTTTGATTGTACTTGCGCTAGGAAACATGAGAGCTGGTTGTGATCATATTAGCAAAGAAAATAGAAGAACAACAAGTTGATAGTTTAGAGTTCATGCAAACATTGTGCCAGCCACTAAACCAGAAAAAAAAAGTTGGCTCAGAGGTAGTCACCAAGTTAAGAAAGGATCTATTGATAAGATACGCTTGAGGAACAATCTCAGAACAATGTGAAAGACAGGTGGGAAATGGCGCTGCAGAGCTAAGCTAAGGAATCAGAAGAGAATACTGCATCGTTTTGTTTTTTTCTTTGCTTTCCCCACCATTCTTCCCCATTTATTACTAGAGGAAAAAGTATTTTTGCCTGTAAAAAATATTTGTGCCTAAAGAGGTAACACTGGGGTGCGCTCCTGCACCAGCACTGAACTTCTGGGTAGCTTTGCTTCACTTGCTGGATAAAATCATAGTAAAACTATTAGCTGTGGATCACTATATGATCAACATTACCTTGACTTTAAGCATCTACCCTTACAAACTCCTTGCTTGTAGGGAAAAAATACATCACAATGGTTTCAACTTACCAGAAAGACTCTCCCACCAGCTACTCTTTGTGGAAATGTCCAAGGAACAAGATGAAGTCCCAGATGGCCAGAGAACACAAGCTATGGTTAGCCAGGAGGAGGAAGTGCTGTCAAACGTGGCATCTGGAGAGGTGATGAAAGCCAGGGCAGCTTCTTGGTCCAGGAGATAAACCTTCATGCCTTTTTTTACAGATGTGCTGCGTTTACAGATGTTCCCAGAAAGGGGCAGTAGAGACCAAACCCACACTATGAATAGAAAGAGAAGTCCTGGTCAGGGAGAAATAAATAAAGAACAAGAATTATTTGCAATGTTTCTTTTCCTTGGCACACAGAGGCTCCACCATGTGTCCATTCAAATAAAAACAATGGGACCTGTATGGGCCAAAATGGCGCTGTTTGGTATAACACAATAATCCCAATCCTCTCTGAGATCACTTCCTTCACCTGCTTTTCAGAGGAGACCACAAACCCTGCCCAAATGTGGATGCTGTGTGGGTTGCAAGAGCTGGCACAAGGGCGTGTAATGCATCGGGAAGCACTATATAATGCCCTACTTAACACTTATGTCACTGCAGCAGCATGGCAAGCTTTGCGTTGGCTTATTAGCAGGGGGAACAATAATAATTTGAGAAAGGTTTACTGTTAGGCTTGTGAGTACCTATACCACAGTTCATCACTAACACAATTTGGCTTCCACTGAATCTTGCAAGAGAGAAGACAAAAGAAAAAGAGGTGCTTAAAATATCAAGATTACCAACAGTTCATGTTGGTGTGAAGTGTGAAGCGGGGAAGCCCATCCCCAGACCACCTTTACAAATCTCTCCAGAATCTCTTGAACCACTCAGAGTTAATTCTAGAGCTGACTCAAGCCACTGCCTTAAGGAAAAGGCACATTTACTCACCTGGAGCAAATCCCATGTGTTTTACTTCATTTAAGCCACTTATCCCAGCTCTCTGCTATTGCTTTATGCCCATCCTCTTGCACTGTCTATAATCCACAATGGAGGGGATGATTTTGCGGGTGGGGATGTCCAGGAACTCCAGTCATGGTACAGTAAAACAGGCATAAACCATGCAGCCAGTCTCTCCTCCTCAAAGAGTTTCTGGCCTAAGAATAAGATTGAAAACATGAAAGCAAGCAGGGGGCAATGTGAGGTGAGAAACCAGCTATCTGCATCAGAGGAGCTGAGGCAGTAACAGCTTTATCAGGAAACCAGGAACCGTTTCTGGTCCTGCTCTCAGCACAGCTCAACACACCAGCAAATCTGGCTGCAGACTGAAATCTTGGCTTCCTCTGAAGCCAATGGCAAACATCCCACTGGCTTCAATGGGAGCAGGACTTCATGCCAGATCTCGTGCTTCCCATTCCTTCACCGTAGCCATGAGAGCAAGCTTCCCTTCCAAGGCTGTGTCTGCAGCTAGGGCCTTCAGGAGCAGAAGAATGGCTCTCCTTGCAACCTGAGCAGTATCAGTGGGAAATGGAAGACCTTTTTAATGGAAATGGCGATTGCCCTAGACAACAACTTGCTTAGAGTTACGGGGATCTCTAGAGCTCCATTTCTTTCTGTTTGAAAATCTCTCCTTAGGCTTTAACTGCCCCCAGAGTGCACAGCAGCTCAAGCACACAGCTTTAGGCTGTGATGAGATCACTACTGGGAGAAATGGTATGAGCTGGGCTATGCAGCTAGCAACACTCATCTCTCCCAGTTTTAACATCCCTCATTCCATACCTGCTCACATAGCACTTCTTATACATAGTGTGACTTACAGCAACACAGCAAACAGGCAGGAGAAGACTAAGTTGGCCCATTTCTGCTGTTATCACAGCAGAGTGGATGCCTATTGGAGGAGGTACAGAAAGGGATGCTGGAAGAGCACTGTGCTGACCACACAGGGCTCTACATTTGCTCTGGCATGAGCATCTCTCTGCTGAGATGAGCATCGTGAGATCTTCAAGCTGTTTGTGAAGTGGTAAGGTCACAGCTCTCATTTCCTGAAAATCTTTGCTTTCCTTGGCAAAAATCAAGAATTTTGTTAGGGAAATCTTGGTGGGTGTTTTGTGATCAGTCAAGCACAGCAGATTACATTACTGGAGGGTGTATACAGGACCTCCCGTCTTCTAGACATAGTAAAATGAGTCGGTTTGCTCCAGAGATTCAGGAGTCACCAGCATGGTGCTGACCACCTGTATTATTTCTTAGGTCACACGGCGTGTCTATAGGACAGATTGATGTCTGTACAGCTGACTGTTTGCATATCAATTCTAGAGGCAAAGGAAATTCTTCAAATCCCAGAGCACAAATGTGGACTGCTACAGAAAAGCAGGTGGAGATGTGCCAAGTTACAGCTCCTCAGTTGCTACCCCTGTGAAGAATGCCCTGCAAGGAAAACTAGAAAATATTTCATGAAAGAGCAAAGATAACACAAGACTATCTGGCAAAGGGTAGAATTTAATATTAATGGCTTTCCTTTAGTCACTGTATTTCCTGTTCCTAACTTAACCCTCTAAAATCAGCAATGGTCAGAGAAGGGCTATAAACTTTTGCACATTTAAAAGGTCTTCACTGAAAGATCTGAGAGCACTCTGCAAATATTAGGGACTGCTGAGGGTTGGCTATCCCCTGAGGCCACTGCCCATGTAGCCAATGGGCAGATGCTGCTTTGGCTGCAGAGGCCAAACACTGAAATTTGGCTTCTGCCCCGCTCTGCAAGAACATATTCCTTCTATGTCTCCCAGTTCATCACAGGAACCCAGGAAACGAGAGGTGCTGGGCTCCTCTTGAATTCATGCTCGAGATCCAGTGTGAAAAACCCCTTCTCCATGGACAGATGGGTAATAGATACACAGCAGTGACGTGACTGGTGTCATTTCAGCCCGTCAGCCACTTTAGTGTCTTGTCCCTGGAGGTCCTCAGGGTTACGTGGAGATTGCTCATGGATGTGTGTGGCTCAGCTGCTGGCGTATCTAAACATCTCCATTAAACAACAGCACACTGAACCTTGCTCTGAAAGTGAGCTGGACTAGCCCCATCTCCCCACCCTTCCTTGCCGACCGGTACTTGCCTGGAGGGGTCCAAATATTAGTCAACACGGATAAGAGATGCACAACATGGCTCCTCTGAGTCTCGCAGTCCTTCAGTCAGAGGAGATCCTTCTGTGCCACCCACATCTTCCTTTAACCTGGCAAAGTACCTGAATTACTGAGCTGACTTGCCAAGAGAGATTTACGCTGAAACATCTCTAGAAAGATGGCTCTCATTAAGGGCTGAAGCCTGCAAGAGAGCACAATGCTGGCTGGGGCACAGACTGGGGAGAGAAGCGTTAGTCATCACCTGCCTCGTGTTCAGCCCTTCGGACAGTCTCCTCTCTTGGAAGATGCACTGTTTTGCCTGTATGACTGTTGGCAGAAACTAATGAGCAGAGCTGGTTGAAAATTTTCCATCAAAACAGTATTTCTGTTTTGCCAGAAGACAGTTTAAAAATTAAGTGGAAAAATTAGAGAAAAAAGCTTGGGTTTTGGCTGACATTGTTGGTCAAAAAATCCCAAACTTGAGATTTTTTAGCCAAAAATGGAAGTATTTGGGGTAAGTCAGGGGAGGAAAGGGGAGGAGCCTGGCAGGTTTCAGCGTAGTGATACGCTGAAAAACATCTATGAAAATTTTGACAAAGATGAGGATGTTTTTGTCAATTTTTTCCACAGCAAAAGATACTTCTGCTTTTAGAAGCATTCTATGGGGAGGCTGGAAAACAAACAAGCAAATATGCATTTTCTTTCTCATACATATGGCTATAGACACTCCATAGCTTGCAGTATTAGCACAGGCAGCAATTTCCTCTGGAGAGATAGTTAAGACCAGATCTCTCATAGGAGCTGCCCAAGAGCGTACTACCCAAAAGCTGTAATTCTCAGAAAGGGACACCCACACAGCTGATTCTGCTGTGAGTTTGTACAGCTGATGGAAAGCCTCGATAACCTCGCAGTTGCCTTGCATACAAATAAACTGAGCCATGGGGACAGCCAGGGAAAAGGCGCTGCTTGTGAAGGAAGGTACCGTGCGCACAGCTGTTGCAAAACCATCCGTACTTAATAGCCAGCCAGCCACAGGCAATGCTGTTGCTAAAAATGTTGCAGAGAGAATGGCACATAAATACCTGGCAACCCACAGAAAGCTCTTTTCCATCCTGCTTACACAACAGTGTGGTTTTTCTTTTTCCCTTTAAAATTGTTTCTTTAGCAAAATTGGTTGGGAAAAAAAAGAAACCCAAACCAGCTGGAATCTTCCTTACCCTCTGGGGAATGTGACTTCTTGGGCTCAGAGTCACAGTCCCCTCTTCAAGGTGTTGTTGTCTGATGTTGTGAAACGATGTGGGGAAGAAGCTGTGAGCGAGAGTGGCTGGAGACCAGCAGTCTCATAGCTCAGCAGGACCCTCCTTCCTCAACAAATACCTGGGCATAAAGCAGAGGTGACAGTGCCGAAGCCAACGCAGCACAAGTGGCACAGAAGGTGAATCAGCTCTGTGAGAAAACCAAGATGTGACATGGTGTTATTAGTGGGGAGCAGGGGAGGTTCAATTTATAGTGATTTCCTAAGGAATTAGACCATGATTCTGGACAGGATTTATATTTTAAACAACACTTAATTTTTTTTAAAGGACTAATTCAATCTAGATGTGGATTTCATACCTTTTCCTTAATGAGAGCAGCACCAGGGGAAGCAGTCAGAAGTACTGACGTGTCCTGGCAGGGGCTCCGACTGCTGCAACTCGCCTTGCTGACAGCCTGAGCTTGACTCTCGTCCCATGACAGCCCGGGGTTACAGTCCCGGCGACTTCCACCACAAGCAGCTCTGGCTCAGAGCCGCCAAAGTGATAAAAGACTTCTTGTGTGATCATCTCAGGAGGGAAGTTTGGTGCCAAACAAAGCTGCAGTCTAGTTGGGTCTTTTTGCCATTAGAGACAAAATCAAGGGGAAAAATACAGAGCTGGGGAAATAAATGGAAGCTGCAAAATGTTCAAATAATGTATTTTCCAAGAAAATAAAAAAAAAAACCCCACCCAAGAATGGCTTGTCTGGCTTTGCTGGCCAGGCCGTGGTTGCACTGATCTTTGTGCAACCTGAAGATTCTGTTAGAGGATACCCCTTGTACACCAATTCATCAACAGTCTAGCTCCACTGCTTGTCTCCTGGGTGGCTGCACAATGATGTTGTAGTATGCAGTGACCTTACAGAAAATTGTCAGTGATCTTTCAACAGCTGATGCTTTTTGGGGTAGCCGAGCCAGCCGCCCAGACTGGCGTGCTACCAGCGCTCTCCTCCTGCTGAACAAATGAGCATTTCCCTCTCTGCCAGCCTACATTTTGAGCAGTATCCAGACTTGGGTCTGGATTTTGCAGCCCAGTTTCTGTAAGGGGCATCTCTGAAGTGATGTGAATTTTACCCTTTGTTACTTCCAATAACAAAAAATATGTCTGAGGATATAAAACCAGTGGGGAATATCCCTTTCCCTCCCCTGCCAGTGCAGTAACCGCAGTACAGGCTTACTCACTCAATTCAGAAGCGGTCTATGCTCATCTCCATGCCTTTTCAGATTGCTGCTGGCAATAACCCCAGCTAGCTGCTCTGGGAATCTGTCTTTTCCCCCAGACCACTCTTGAGCGAAGGATCATTTCTTTGGGCATGGTCTTTCCAGCATCCACATGTCTGTGTGTAAAGTCTAAGTGCCACCGCACAAAGAACATTCAATCATTATAAAAGACCTCAGAACAAAAACCATCCAGAAAGCAACAGCGAGGGGAGTCATAAGGTTATTACAGGAATATGATGAGAAAAAGATTTTTCTTCAGAGGGCTGAGGGAGGAGATTAAAAGCACTTGAGCAGATGAGGAAAGGTATTCTCTATAGACTGCGAAGGTGGTGAAATTTCTGGTGGGTGCAAAGCAAGTTTGTGAGGGGCAAAGTAGCTGCAAGCAGAGGAAGAGGGGAAAGGGACAATGCTTATGCAGGGAGGGTAAGGCCACAAAATGTGTCTGTGGGAAATAGCGGAGGAAGGACAAGACAAGCATCTCTGGAGTTACACTGAGACTCCTATAAGCCCCTGAAGCTCGGGAGAGGCTGGAGACACTGAGGGTGCAAGGGCTCACCTGGAGACTGAGCTGTGCCAGGAGCCAGCCCCCCACATGTTGATATCCTGTGGGCTCCACCATGGCGAGCATGCGAAGTTGCTCTCCCCCGAGGTCGAGAATGATGCCAAGGCCTGTGACATGACCCAGACAAGTCACACTGGAGGCTCCAGCTCCACCCAGGCCACAGAGGGATGAAAGGATGAAACACCCAAATAGGAGCCTTTCACAGCCAAATGAGAGATGCTGAGGAAAACCACAACTTTCAAGAAAGCCCAGCTGCTTCTCCCCAGCCCAGCGGTGGATACCTACCCCAGGCCATGTGGACCCGGCCAATGTCTCGGCTGTGGTAATGCACAGGGAACACATACACAAGCCCCAGACATCAGCTGCAGAACTCTGCTAATTGGAAAAGTCTGTCTGAGTGTCTGGCCACCATTTGGCAGACAAGGCAGCTCTGACAAAATAATAAATGTGGTACAGTGCAGCCTCCAGGCATTCTTCATGGGGTCTGTCACATGAAAGTGGCATGAAAGGCGAGGAGATGCAAGACACATGGAGGTCAGCTTTGGAGACTCTCTGATTACCTTCTGGGTAGTTACTGCTAAGGGGACTTTGTGGTCCCTCTCTGCTTATATACTCTCTTGTTTAAACTCCCCTTTTATAAACAGACAGTTCTTCCCATTCAAAGTGAAGATGCTTCAGTCCTGCTTGTCCAAGGCAGTGATGCTGTTGGAAAGTCTCTCTCCAGGCAGACCAGCCCATTTCTGAAGAGTGTGAAGAGAAGCCAGAGACATGATAAAAGGACAAAAAAAATTCTCACAGAAAACATAACTGGTCTTTGTGCATTAGCAGCATTTGAGGAACTCCTGTCTTCCTACTGACCTGCCTCCAAATTGAGATAAACAGAAGGACACTGAAGTGTAAGTGATATGGAGTACAATCAAACATATTCAGCGCAGGTCCAAGTACTGGAAGAAATAATGCTGTTCAGGAGCAGTTCCCACAGCCTGCCTATTTCTGGGTGCACTATATTCATACAGCAGCAGGACAGCAAGTGAGCAAGTAACTTGCCAGCAAGTAGGTTACCAGGGCTTCTTTTCTTACACCATCAGAAGTGTGAGTGCTTCTGGCATGGTTCTTCTCCGCCTGGAACTCCACAGCATATTGGTGTTTGTGCCAACACTCTTCAATGAGAAAACACACCTCTCCCAATGGACCAGGGGTGTTGGGAAAAGCAAAAAGGAACATGCAGTTTTCACTCTACCAGCAGAGCAAGGTCCTCCAAAAGTGGTACTCTAGGTGATGCATGGGGCTGATGCCAGGATAAGATGATCCATTTTGAGCTTTTTGGAAAGAAATTTCCTTCCAGAGAAAGCAGAGTCCCGCCACCTTGCTGCAAGGGACCAAGAGGCAGCTATGGCTGCCGTGTACACCAGGACTTGCAACAGAGTGAAGGAAGCAGGTGGGGTTGGTGGATGCAGAATTGAGCTCCAAGCAGCTGAGGAAGGATTATACTTTCCTCCTGGTACTTCTGTGCCAGAGCACCAGAGCCATCTGACACCACCTGCCTTTAATGATCTTGGCTGAGATGACTTAAATAAAAAGACAACTAAGATCACAGGGAAGGACAATGGCTTTAAATCATCTGATTTCTTGGTTAGAAGGTGGGGATTAGGAATAAGAAAAAACCAGCAAACTGCTACATGCAAAATAGGCAAACTAAGTATATAAGCCTACTGGATTTATAGAAGATATATTGGCACATACCAGGAAAATTTCAAGCCAAATGTATGACAGCATTCCTTACACCCCTCCCACCCATTGCCATATCCCAGCTTAATGTAAAGCCTTTTGGCTTCCAAAGGCTTATAGCTATGTTTTATTGTTTAAACAGGTCAACAATTGCAATCATATGTTGACTCCAGGCAATAACAAACACGATGATGTGTTAATATACAGCAACATTTGGATGGAGTTTCTACAATTTTGCTGCCGTTAACAGTCACACGTATAATGGCAGTCGGGCTGGTATCTCCTAAGGCTACCTCTGAAAACCAGGAAGCCTATCAGTGTTGTGCCACTACCAAGAAGCCAGCGTGAGATCAGTAAATGAGCTCTATTTTTAATGTAAGTATAAACTCCATTTCTGGAAATAATTTTGGGAGGAGGACTCACATCAGCCATGCTTTGTTTTTAAGGTTGCTTTAGAAATGCTCCCTCCAAGAAGTGTCCTTTTAACAAGAATTGAGCTGGAATGGGATATGGATGATGGCATCTTTGTAAGACAGGCTGGGACAGGATCCTTCAGGTCTATCTGCTTGAAGTCGTCTGCAAAAAACATCTTCACCATGTTGAGGGGGGAGTGAAATAGTACAAAGATTCTGGCTAGTACCTACAACAAAGACATCCAAAACACTTGGCACTGAAGTAATTCTGTTTATTTCACACCAGGGAAGTGTGCAGCTAGGTTATATAGATACCCTTCCAATGGATGGGATAGTTTTGCTCCAATATAAATTTCCACATGCTCAGCAATCTTCATTATCAGGTTGCGCCTGTGGAGCAGCTACCATTAAACATACAGCAAGCTGCCACTTCATCTCAGCTCCAACATACATTGAAAGCAACCTTTCTCAAAAGCACTTGCAAAACATCCCTCCCCGCATGTATAAGCTTTAGCTTCCCCGCAGCCTGCTGAGGCGTACACAGCGATACCCCAAACGCAGCCTGGCTCACTTTTTCCAGACAGGCATTTTCTACTGTTGTGTCACTGACCACAGACCTTGCAAGGCATTAATCAGGTATTAACATTTCCTGTACTTTATTTTTCAACCCGACCAGGACAAGACCCATCATTTCTTGATTTGTTAGCACACTGGGAACTCTGAGATGCCAGAATTTTACTGACAAATGACCTTTTACACCTACCACAGCTATCAAACAGTTGGCCTAGACTTAACCGAATCTCAGTCTCAGCCCAGTATTAGACAGATGCATAATGTATTACTTACAGCTTCACTCCTTTCTCTTAATTTTCATGCTAGCTGTTTAGTTTGCTTTGTATTTTTTTCAAGTTCAGAAACCTTATTAAAGTTGTTATGGAAAAAATAAATTTATTATTCAACATACTCAATTTTTTCAAAATGGAATGATCTTTTTTTTTTTTTTTGGTTTTCATTTACAACTGGTTCCATTCAGTTTGACTGTTTTTATCTTTTCTAGTTATAACCAGCACCAAAAAGAAAATTACCATGGATACAGTACATATGCAAATTAGCTAATGGAAAAAATATATACATTTCACTCTGTAATGAAAAACTTAAATGATATTACTGCCATGGAGAATATATCCCTGTATTATAATAAAATATCAAGCAATAATCGACTGCTAAGATTCTTTTCCACCAACAAAAAATAGCACCATACATGAGATAGTGAGAATCTACACTCAATAACACAATTGTGCAACTAGAAATGTACAGTACTTTAGTAACAGTACAGAGTATTGTTTACAATATGGAAATACCAACACTGTAATCAAAAGAGCGTCAATCTCTTACGAACAACTAAAAAAAGTATTGTCATAGATACACTGAAACAAACAGCTTTCTTTTCACCAGTATGTAGTAACTGAGGGCAGAGCATAGCTGTAAATTCATAGTAAAGCTCCTATAAAATGATACAAAACAGAAGTGCAGGAGTATTGAACACTATTTAACTTTTTTTAGTATTATTATTTTTCTGGCTATTATAAAACGGGAAGGTTGTCACCAT